TAGCTCAGTGGCATAAGCCTCTGCCTGGCAAGCTCTAGGTTGTGAGTTCGATCCCCAGTACCAAAAAGAAAAAAAGACAAACTTGATTTTTTGGGGGGTGGGGGTGCTGGGGATTTAGCTCAGTGGCATAAGCACCTGCCTGGCAAGTGCAAGAGTGTGAGTTCAATCCCCAGTAGCAAAACACAAACAAACAAACAAAAAGTGACACAGAAATCATCAAGTCTGTCATGCACGCAGTGCTGTGCAGGGCCTCGGTAGGGGCATTTCACATGAGTCCTGTTCTAGGCTGGAATCTGCCACTCATTAGTGGGGAACCCTGAGATAAATTACGTTTGTATTATTTATTTCTTTTAGGTACTGGGAATTGAACCCAAGACATTCACAGTGAGCTACCTCTCTAGCTCGTCTTAAAAAAAAATTTTTTTTTTTTTTAAATTTTGAGACAAAGTCTTGCTAAATTGTTCAGGCTGGGTTCCATCTTGGTATCCTCCTGCCTCAGCCTTCCAGAATGCTGAAATTAATGGTGTGCCCTGCCACACTCAGCCAAGGTGACTTACTTCTGATTATCAATTTTCTCGTTTGTCCGATAAGAGAAAAAACACCTACTTCACAGGATAGTGAGAAGCAACTGGGATAAAGTGGTGCCTCAGTTCACAAACTCAGTTCTCTCCATGATTCTGGCCGTTAACTGAACTTGGATGAGTCACATCAAGCTTCCCCAGAAGGTCATCGTTGAACCTGACTACTGAGTTTGATTTGGTTCACATCCAATTTGGTTTGCAAGCAGGATGGTGGAAAGAATCAAGATCGAGAGGGGAGGCACTGCCCGCACAGGTCCTGAGCATCGGGAAGCACACGGCGAGCTGTCTTTGCTATCGCTCTATATTGATTTAGTTAGAAAACTGCCACGCAGCGGCTGGGATTTAGCTCAGTGCTACAAGTTCCTGCCTGGCAAGCGCAAGGTCCTGCATTCAACCCGCCACGCATAAAGTAAAACTAGAGTGCTGTGGAAGGAAAGTTGACCCATTGCTGTTTTAAGTATGTGGATCATTGTGAAAATGATGAGCCTAGTGCTCAGGCCAGATTAGCTGTCTAGTTATTTCATTTTTGTGAATCCCAATCATCTTCCCTCTGCGATGTCTGAGTCCCCTCTCACACAGCCCATCCTGTGGTGCCTTCTAAGAATCAGCACACCCAGCACGTGATTCTCCAGGGAGCCTGGTGTCTCTGGGCCACCCACAGCACCAGGAAACACACTTCATTGTCTATTTTTCTGGTCCCTAGCGTGCACTGGTCTGCTTGATCACATTTGTGTTTTTGTTTATTTATTTAATGCGATGAGGTGAAACCTTTCGGGTCTATGCCAAGGGCCGCTGAATGCTTTGTGGATGCAGTGTGGAGTCCATTGTGGCAGCGAGAAGTGGGAGTCCATATGGTAAGTGTTACCAGGAATGTTTGCCACCCATAAATTAATCAAAAGTATAAGAGGGGCACTGGACAAAAATTAGTAAAACTTAAAATACTATTTGTTTTGTCTAGGACTTCAATCAAAGTCTGACTGGGTTAAATTGTTTGTTATTGTTTATGGCCCAACCCTTTTCTCCTATAACTAATATTCGTATAATGAATGCTAGTGCATATTAGTTATATATATTACTGGGTTTCCTTTTCGCAGATCAAATGTACCTGTAACCCACTTAGATCATTTTCACCTCCTGTCACACACCCTTGTCCTTTTCTTCCCCTCCTCGTTCCTTTTCCTTTCTTTACGGCTTTTTCTTTCTTTTTTTTTTTTTTTTGTAGGTACCAGGAATCAAGCCCAGGACCCCATCTCATGCTTGCCATGCAGGCACTGCACCACTGAGCTGTGTCTCTCCCCTTCCCTTCTCTCTCTCTCTCTCTCTCTCTCTCTCTCTCTCTCTCTCTCTCTCTCCCAGCATATGTGTTTCTGTGTGTGTGTGTGAGAGAGAGAGAGACAGAGAGAGAGAGTGAGCATGGAAATATATGGTGAAAGCCTGCATTAAACAGGTTACAGGGAAGACACACTGCCATGCATCTCCCTCGCTTCACACGCACTGATCCCATTGTTCTCGCCACCCCTGAAGCAGCTCTGGAAGTGCTCTTTCGTGAGTGTCTTCAGGAGGTTCAATCAAACATACTTTTTTTTACCACCAGGAATTGAACTCAAGGCCTCATGCTTGAGGCCAGGCGCTGCGCTCCTGAGCTCCATCACCAGCTTGTACCCACCATGCAGCTGCTGGATGCCATCCAGGGGAAGGCTGGTGCCATCTCATCCGCCTTATGCATATGTGTAAGAGGACATGTGCTGTGTGTGTCTGAGTCCGGCTCATTTTATTTAACATGCTGATTTCTAGCTGCATCTGTTTCCCTCAGATGTCCTGATTTTGTTCTTTTAATGGCTGAATAATGTTCTGTTCTGTATGTATGTCCTGTTTTCTTTCTTTGTCTTTTGACAGGCATCTGGGCTGTTTCCATAGTTTAACCAGAGTGAATCGGGCTATGAGTACACAGGTATCTCTACAGAATGAGGGCTAATTCTTTGGAGATCTACTCTGGACCATGGTATAGCTGGGTCAAATCATGGCTTTAGCTTCAGAGTTTTGTTTTTGTTTTGAGACACTTCCACACTGATTTTCATAATAGCAGTATTAATTTACATTCTCGGCAGCAGTGCATAAGGGTTTCTCACCTCCTCCCAGCGGTTTTTGGTTCCTGGTATTCTGTGATAGCCAGTTAGACCAGATGAGGTGACACTCAGCATAGTTTTGATTTGCATTTTCCTCATGGCCGAAGAAGTTGAAGTTGAATCAGTACTTACTGGTCACTTGTATTTCTTCAGAAGTATCTATTCAGTTCACTTCTGGGCCAATCTTCAAGTCTTCATTTTCCTTGCCCCTAAACATAAGAAAGCACAAGCTTGGGAAGGGGTTATAGGATGTTCTCATACATGAGGCCCCACTTTTGATCCTCAACATGGTAAAATAAACAAAACAAACTTTGTCCATAGCACATTCCAATACATTTGTGAATCATAATGTGTTTTAAAACTATTGAAAATGGCAGGGTTGGGCATGGTGGTGCACACCTGTAATCCCAGCACTCGGGAGGCAGAGGCAGGAGGATTGCTGCAAGTTCAAGGCCAGCCTGGGCCAGCCAGGGAGTTCAAGGCCAACCTTGCTACATAGTGACATAGTGAGATGCTGTCAAAAAGAAAGAAAGAAAGTAAAGGACATAATATTGAAGATTGGATATCACTTCCTTAAATTAAAAAAAAAAACTGTCCTAGACAATAGTAAGATGGAAATTTCCATGTCAACTATGCATTCTCCACCTCCTACACGAATGCCTCCTTTCCCCCCTTTTTTACAACTTCTTTATTTCAATATGGATATATCAAAAATATCAAAACTGGTCCAGTACCTTAAGAACCCTGATCATAATTCACCATCCTAAAAATGTTCTGACATAGTAAAAGTGATTTTTAAAAAAAGTTTATGATGGAATTTATGCAGTGGAACCCTTTCACACATCTGATTTGTTGAGAAAAGGATTAGAAATTAATTAGAATTAATCTGAAATTGAACTTGTGCCAGCTCAATAGACTCTAATGTGTTTGAACATTTATGTTTGTGAAAAATTGATTTAATTATGACATTCGGTCAACAGGTATTTATTGACTATGTACTCTTTTACCAAGTTTTGTGTTAAACTTCTACAGGAAGCCAAACACGGTGCTCTCAAGATCTTACTCATAATAAAATACCTTATATGGTAATTGCCAAAGGAGTAATTTGAACAAACATTAGTTTGGGGACATGGAAACAATAAATGCCCAGAAATTAAATTTAAAAAGTAGAAAAGGGAGAAAGTAAGGTAAGATTTTGGAAGAAATTAGAAAGGAGAGGAGGAGCCAAAGGAGAGTGGAATGGAGCGAGGCTGCGGTGGAAAAGATACTTTCCAACCAAATCCTAGTTGAAAAGAGGTGCAGGGTGAGCATGAAACTTTCTCAGCTGCAAAAGAGAAAAATCACCAAATACTGAGAACCAATAACCAGCTATAGCACAAGAAATACAAGCACCTTCTATGGAACGACCAAGAGAGGGACTCACACTGGCAGCACGTAAAGTCCACAAGAGCCCTGCTCTGTGCTCCCCCAGAACACGGAACCCAGGCCTTGTGTACAAGTGTGCAAGCAGCAGTGTGAGGGGAGCAGGGGCTTCCAGGGTAAGCAAGGTGGCCTGAGAGGCGAGGGCCCACCTTGGTGGTCCTTGTGCCAGGGGTCAGGCTGTGTGGGAGGGCAAGGGCTGCTCAAGGGCCCTCCCGGGACAGACAGTGGGCAGCACAGCTGTGTGAGGATGTGTGCGGTGCCTCTTGCACTCTGAAAGGACAAGGACAGGCTGGGATGTCTGCTTTACCTCCTGGGCCTGAAGCCTTCACGTTTCGCATAAGGACTCCAGATCCAGGAGTCCAAGAGGTTTGCAGGTAGACTGTCATGTGGGTACAACAGCCATGTACATGCGGAAAAACCACGTGAAGCCTTACTTTAAAAGAGGCAGCAAACAGAGGTTAGCCCAAGAGCCAGCAGGAGTGGGCAGAGACTACTACCTGCTCTCTGACAAGGCACTTCCAGGAAATTCGGGGTCCAGCTGAGGTTTGGAGTTCTCAAGCTGGTGCAGCCTCTGGCCTCCTCCTCTCTACACCTCTGCCATGGTGCTCCCCACCCAGATTCCTATCATGTCAAACTTGTTTCCAGTCACCCAAGCCCTCTAGCCGGTGACCTCTTAGTCCAAGTCTGTTACCCAGGACACAAATAGATTGAGGGTGTCAGATGACATGGTAGTTTGGGGGGAAGGAGACAATTTGAGGGCTTGCCATTCGCTTTATAATACTGGTCTCCCCAGCCACCCACACCTTTGAAAGTAAGTATCTTTCCCCATTCTGTTGCTCTCTGTCTCTAAGTCACTGAAGGGCACACTGAGTGTGTGACTCATGTTTCTTTTTATTTATTTTTCTTTGATGTGCTCATCGTCTCTTGGGAGCCAGCTGGTGGAACCTCTGGGTCAATCCTGTTTTTCTGGGGGGAAGTGGGGTAGCAGCCTTGGGTAATGACAAAGGTGGGCTATAATTGCTTTACGGGAATGACACAGTGCACGGTGTGCAGCCAGGTCAGAATAGTGACAGCTCATGAAGTGACAAACACTCTGTGACCACGTCTTAAATTCACATCAGCATATTCTTCCCAGACTAAGTGAGGATGTTTGGTGAATCCCCATCCACGCTGCTCAAGGCAGGCTTGAGGCTCGATGAATCGCTGAAAACCCCTGTTCATCTTGCACCCTACCCAGAAGTTCTCAGCAGCAATGGTCTTTGAAACAGCTAAGATGCCGCAGTGCCGCGGCAGGCGCCCTGCACTGCCGAGGTCCAGGAGGACAGACAGGTTGGAGGTGGGTTCTGAGCTGGGAAAACCAGTGCCACCTGCAGAAGAAGGGTTTTTAACGGAAAGGTTATTACAGGTCAGAAATACATTTGGAAGAAAAAAATATTTAGCACAAGAAATATACCAGTTTTCTCCAAAGGTACAAGAACTTTCTGCAGTTTGTGGACAATGCCCAAGGACTGGCAGGAGCAGCCGCCCTCGGTCTGGTTTCCACCCACCTTCTCTTTATTAAGAGGGGGAAGGGGAGGGGAATCAGGCAGCAGCAGAACGGGGAGGGGGGAGGGAGGGAGGGAGAGAGAGAGAGAGAGAGAGAGAGAGAGAGAGAGAGAGGGAGGGAGAGGGAGGGAATCACTTTTTGATTTGGGGGTTTAGGGGTCCGCAGAGCCTGAGCGTCTCGGCCTCCCCTGCTTCCCGCTTCGTGAATTCTGGGTGTTTGATTGCACGTGAGCCGCCTCGTGCAGCCGTCAGTGCGCAAGTCACGCTGCTACTTTCGGTTATTCGTGTTGAAAGAAGCAACTTAGGTCTGTCAGAAACAGGCTGAGCCCCTAGGCGCCCGTGCGGCCTGGGCAGGGGTCCACCACCCCAATTTCCTCGCCCGGCCCAGGCCTCTCTGCCTCCTGCCCCCGCGCACCCCTGGTCCATCCCAACTCGGACCCAGCTCTTGCAGCCGCTCCTCACCCACGCGCGGGACCAGGCTCCGCGGCTGCGTCTCCCTACTCTGGGGACAGCGGCTCCTGGACTGCTGCTGCTCCCCTGACCCGAGTAAGAGACACAGACCTCCAGACCTTCGGGGTGAGAGAAGGCCCTTCCTGGGCCCAGGACCCGCAGGGAGGGAGGTCTGCCGGCGCCCCGGGCCCTGCAGCCCCCACCCCACCCCACCCCACCCCATCCCGTGCCCAGTCCGCGGGTCCCAGGGAAGTGCAGCCTCCCGATCACCCGGGCCAGGCCGTAGCGCGGCAGCCTGGCTGCAGGTCGCCTCTCCCGGGATCGGATAGATGATTCATTTTTATATGTAACGTTTTACCCCACTCTATAGCTTAGGCCGGTTAATATTCAACCCGAGGCTGGGGAACCCTGGGGAGGCCGGCAGGTGACCTTCGGGTATAGGCGCCTCCCGATCGCCTGCCTCGTGGAGACCCAGGCCTGAGACGGGGTGAGAGGAGGGGTCGTCGGGAGGGTTCTCCTCGGGATGCCTGGCCATCGCAAGGCTGGTCCTGGATGGGGCGGCCAAGGACCCGCAAGCTGGTCCCCGCTGGGCCTGGGGAGTTCAGGACAGTCCCAGCCAGAGGGCTTCGAAGCCCAGGGTCGCAGGCTAGGAAGAGGATCGGGATCGGCGTGCACTCTGGGGACTTGGAGGACAGTGCAGACTTTAGGGGTGCCAGGACCAAGGGAGCGACCTAGGAAGGGTGGGGTTCCTCTCCCAGCTCTAGCTTCTTCCCTTGCCTCTGAATGGGTCGAGAGGCCCCGCCCCAACAGAGGAGGCCTAGGCTCTGTCGGGGACACGCGCAGGACAAGGCTGTCCTCAGCCAGGGTGGCCCAGGCGGGCACTGACCTGGGTCAGCGCGGCCCACACAAGGGCCTCTGTCTGGAAGCCCTGGGTCCTGCATGCAGGAGGAGGGTGTGTGTGTGTGTGGGGGGGGTGTCCTGTGGGGAGGTTGCCACCCTGAGCTGCCTGTGCATGTGGGAGGCATGGGAGGGGTAGTCAGAGATAAACAGGCTCACAGACCGACAGGGCCCCTCTTCAGGGTTTCCCCGGTGACTGGAGGAGCTAGAGCTCCAGCTTCCAATCCACATCGCTGGAGGCGCGGAGCCCGCTAGGAGGGTTTTATTGCTCTTTTTTGTTTGCTATTATTTTATTTTGACAGTGACCTGGGGTCTGGCCAAAGCCTCTTCACAGTGTGCTGGATGGCCTGCCAGTCCCTACCTTGGTCCACAGTGTCTGTTCCGCTCCCCACAGCCGTGATCAGCATAACCTGGCACCAGAGTGAGGGTCCCTGTGGGAAGAGGCCACTAAGCTGCTGTGTGCAGTAACCCCAGAAGGACGCCCATCCCGGCAGATGGGGCATCCTTGACAAGGACAGAAGGGGAGAACTGAGCTGCCACTAATCTAGGTCCCAGTCACCTTCCTTGGAGTGTCCCCTGGCTTTCTCAAGGACAAGCAGGAAGGTCCTAAGTCTTGTCTTCCCAAAGCCACATGGGAAAACTTTCCTTCCCTGAACCGTGTGCAGCCAGTGCTGGCCGGGGCAGGACAGGTTTGCTATCTCAGAGGGAGAGACAGTGCTGGCCGGGGCAGGACAGGTTTGCTATCTCAGAGGGAGACAGCCAGGGAGAGCTGATCTGGGAAATGACCCCAAGTCTTAGCCTTGGTATAACAGGTCCCAGCCTCATGGGCGGTTTCCTAAGTTGCTTGACTGCGATGAGCAGGAGACAAAACAACAGCAAACCCTTTTAGGAAAGGAGGAGGATGTGGAGGAGAAAAAGCCCAGGGGAGGAGGACACACGCCTTAAACTTGTTTGCTAGAAGAGGAAAAAGTGGGTCTGCCCGACAGTTTGTACTCTTCCAGCCCTCCTGGTGCAGAGGGAAATCCATGCAGTCCTGCTGCATCTCCGCCAGCCAACAAACCCCTTTCCATGCTGTCTTGGAAGTGCTGCTTGAAACTTCCAGTGCCTCAGGTGGTTCTTTGGGCAACTCTTCTGCTGAGCAACTTCAGCTTCTAGGGTCTTCTCTCTTCCACAACTGCCACTGAACTGGTACAAAAGAAGCCTCAGTGAGTATGTGAAAGGTAACTGAGCCAGAATTAGATACATCTTTAATGGGCTATTTTATTTCTTGCAAGACTGCTGTCATCTTCCAACAAAATATAAAATCAACATTTACATAAAATGCATAAGTGCTCAGCACAGAAATGTTATGCCTCCCTAACACAATACTTTTGTTTTTGTTTTGTTTCGTCTTTTCAGGTAGAAACTCAACAATGCAGAGATCCACCCTGGGGAGGCGGGAGGGACCTGAAGAGGCCAGGGTGACAGATAAACTCAGTTTCCCCGGGTTTCCTCTGTTACAACCTGTACAATAGTGTTTCCAGTTAACTCATTGTTTAAAGAAGAAAACTCTTCAGTTACTGTTTTCTTAAACTCAGTTAAAATGCAATTGTTGAGAAGGTGGGGACAGGAAGCCTATTTTCTTTAACTTTCCTTTGAAAATCTGCTACCAGAATTTTTTTCCCTTTTCTTGGCGACATCTGCTCACTTAGGCAGGTCTCTTAGTTGTTGGCGTGCTTACCAGGACAGCACCGCGACAGAGGGTTTATAAATCAATCAATAGGTAGTCTATACGCGTAAAGGCCTCTGATCTTGTGACACCTACCCAGGTTCCCGCCCGGAAAGTGGACTCTATGGGCCAGGAATTCCATGCATACCCTGGACTGCCGGCGGGGAACCCAGCGATGGCCGGCAGGTTCTGCGTGGATTAGGATGTGGATTGCAGGACAGATTTTTGTTCAGTCTGCTTCACAACAGCTATGGGGGCAGGGTCTTCTTCTTTCACGATCACCCTGGATTTTTACAGATGGGCTTTAAAAGGGCTCACCACTCTCCTCAGGGTTCATTTATGAGGCTTTTCCAGGAATATTGAAATTTTAAGACACTTTTTTTTTTTGCTACCTTTAGAAGGTCCCTGGATTTCAGCATCTCGGGTGGGAAGAGGAAAGGGTGGAAGAAAGCAGGCCCGAGAAATGATTCTCTTTCTCAACCTACGACCTGGCTTTCCCAGTGTACTTCTAAAAATTAATTTTATAATCAACATGAAAGCTCAGAGCCTGGGAAGAAATGGAGACATACTTGCGCTGTACATAGCTTTCCTCAGGTCCCACGGATCTGAAATCGGTAGCAGGAGCCTGGAGAAATTGGGACCTTGGGAATTTTTAAAGTTGTTTTAAAAATAAAAATGAAAAGTAAGCCAGAGGGGCCAAGGCAGGAGTGAGTAACAGGTGGGGAGCAGGGGAGGGGAGTCAGCTCTTACCCAGAGAGCAGCGGCCTCGGGCCCAGGCAGGGCCACCCTCTGGGCGCAGAGCTGCTAGGTCCCCCCCCCCCCAGCTCTCCACGGTGACCCCATCAGGGAGGCCGCTTCACGCTATAGATTACATTAAAGGTTCCTGTAAGCGCTTTAATACACAACTAGCTCAGAAATCATTAAGAGGCCTGGAGAAGGAGAAAAAATACCCTCACACTCACCAGAAGTAAGTATTGACACGCAGCAAAAATCGATTGCGGAGGTGTAGGTGGCCACGGCCCGAGGGCGAGGTGGGGGTGCGAGGGGCGGTGAGACTCCGCGGGTTCGGGCCCGGGGACCCCGGCTCCTCTGCTCCTGCCGCAGGGGCGCTGACCGCAGCGGGTACCGGGGGAAGGTGCAGATCTCGCTCCGGGAGGCCCTGCAGAGACCGGGCCTAGGTCGGGTCCCAAGTCTCCGCCCCCAACCTGCGCCACCGCCACCGGGCAGGGGCGACTCCCCCAGACTGGCCGTCCCTTCCCCGGCGAGCTGACTGATTGCGAGCGGAGCTCCCGGAGCCGCCGTCCGGGGCCCAGTCGCTGCCCTCCCGAGCCCGGCCCTGCGCCCGCGCTGCCCTCCCGGAGGCTCCCGGCCCACCTCCGCGGGCCCCGGGCTCCCGAAGCCAAAGTCCGCCCCAGACGGGCCCGCTTTCCTCTCCACTGCTCCCCAGCGCAGCGCAGGACCAGGCGGCCCGGCCAAAGGCCTCGATCTGCCCGGGGCCGCGTGACTGCCCCGCGGGTCCGAGGCAGAAAGTGCAGGCGGCCGGAGCTCCCCGGCAGAACAAAGGCGCGGCGCCCCGGCTCCCCGCAAGCCTCTAGGTAAAGCTCCAGCCAGAGAAAAGCAACCTGAGCGCAAAAACACAGGCTTTCTGGGCCGCAGAGAAGCAGCGGCTGCTGGCCACTGTCCTCCGGCTGCTGGCCACTGTCCTCCGCCTCCCGCCGCGGGGCTGTCCTCAGGCCTGGGTTGGACGAGGTGACAAGGATAACAAAAGACCTTAGCGCTCCCCTCCGCCCCCAGACCCTCCCAGCGCCATGGTGATGAATTCCTTGCAAATAGGTCCTGTTTGCTGCGATTTGTTATGGGGTGGGGTGAGGGGGGTGCAAGTCTCACCGAAGCAGCGGCGGTGCTCAAAGCCCTGTTAAACGCTGCAGGCCGACCTGCTCCCCCGGTTTAGATGTCAGCGGATAGGAGGGGGCCCGGGCTGTAATTCATCTTGATTTGCTTCATTGTCCTGCAGTTTGCAAACTATAATCCTGCATAATTTCAGGAACAAGCAGGTTTAGAATTAATGGGTCAATATTATTTAAAACAAAACACAGGGAGCGTGACCTTTGCCTCGACTACATATTGCCCGACAAGGCTCAGGAAACTCCGTTGTAACCTCTGGAGCCCCGGCTCTTTGAGATCCTGAAGGGCTGTGGTTATTAGAAATGGTCTTTGTTTCTTTTAATGTCTCCAAAGGATTTGGAAATAGTCATGCAATATAACATGAAGAATCTCTCTACTTAACCCTGAAAGATAAACGCAGAGGCCTAAATATTTTGAAATGGAGGTGTTTCCTTGGAAATTTATTATAGATGTATTCTTCCTGAGAGGAACGTATATAAACTGCACGTACACACACACGTATTTCTCCAGGGCAGTTTACTGGAGCTGCGGTTTTCCCTCTGATGGAATAAACTTGAGAGCCGCTTCAAGCTGGCACACTTGGAAATTGCTTTCACCTTCCTTCTTAGATTCTTTGCTTGCCATAATGGAATCTTCAAAGAAAAATCTGGGAGGCAAGACCAGGCTTTACTAGGGTTGTTTTTCCTTCTCCTAGGAGTGCCCTCTCTTTTTAGTTTCTGATGAATGGCCATAATTTATTTCTACGAAAATTAAGTAAGTGCTGCTGCTGCTCTCGTGTGTTTAAGGAGGCAGGCAGAGGAAACTGTTTTGTTTAGGAGGTGGCCACTGAGAACACCCCGCCAGGTGACAGAGGAGGGGAGAAAGAATCCAGACCAATTTGTATGCAGTATATTTTACTCCCATGAAATAAAACACATTTTTTCATATTTGCTGAAAAGTAAAACAATAATATTGTACGAAATGTTATACACAGGGTAGGTTGTACAGAGCAGTTTCAGAAACATCATTGCATCCACCAGAGAAACTATTCTAAAACTGATATTCACACATTTTTATAATAATAATATGTTAGAAACATACAGTGTGGCATTTAGTATATACATTCCCTTGCTTGCAAGCGAAAACTCCTAATGGCTTCTGTATAACATGCTTTATTTTAAAGCCTAACCTTTAAAAACACTGTTGTGATATTACTAACAACTGCTTTTATAAAATTAATTTGACATTTCGATATATATACATCCTTTCAGTCATTTTAACGTTAACAATGCTAAACTTAAAAAATAACAAGCTTATAGTCATGTTAAAATGTCATATCCAGTCAAACATCTGTGTGTCCCTGTCCTTGCAAATGTTGGAAATACTTCTCCTGAAAAACATCAGAAGGCGAGGACATTCCTTTGAAATCAAAGGAGCGCTCTTGAATTCAGTGGTTTCCTTTTCTCCCTCTCTATGTCCTTTCTTGAGTGCCCGAGACCTGCTAGCGCAATTCCCAGTCTCTCCAGGGCGGGTGGCCCCTCTGGCCAGCCGCGAGTCCCAGGATCCGGCCGCTTGGCTCACACGGGCCGGTCCACTGCGTACTGGCAAGCGCTCAGGTTGGACGCGGGATTCTGCACGCTGGCGTAGCCGAAGCTGGAGTGCTGCTTGGCTTTCAGTCTCAGACTGGCCAAGCTCGAGTTACACGTGTCCCTGTACACGTAAGGGGGTGTCGGCGGCGCATAGGGACAGGCGGGTGTGGGCACCGCGGAATTCAGCGATGGGCTGCTCAGGTTGTTCAAGTTATTCAGGCTGTTGAGGCTGGAGCCAGGGACGCCCGTCACAGCCGAGGGAACCATGCTGGACGACATGCTCATGGACGAGATGGAGTTGGGTGGGGAGAACATGCTCTGCGAGGACAAGGGATTGACGTTCATGGAGTTGAAGAAGGGGAAGCTCTTGGTAGACAGCGAGGCTGATGTGAGGCCCTTGGCAGCCCAGTTGTTGTAGGAGTAGCCCGGGTACATGTCGTCGTAGGGCTGCATCAGCCCGTTGAACTGCGGCCCGAAGCCGTTCTTGCACAGCTCGGCCTGCTGATTGCGCTCCCGCTTTCTCCATTTGGCCCGGCGATTCTTGAACCAAACCTGGGGAAGGGAGGAAAGGTGGGGGCAAGGGGAGCAAACAGAGGCCACAGCTCAGATTAGTAAACAGTTGGTCACCGAGAGTACCAGAAGGCCGCCTCCACGACACAAACTCTTGCACACTCGCATCAAACACCTCTCACCACTCCAACCTACATCTCTGCAGCCCGCACCTGCCAGCGCTCCATGCGGGTTATCCACCCGACCTCAGCCAGGGGTGGGGATCCAGCCAGCACAGGCCTTCGAGGTGCACCATAAACCCCACTGAGCACCTAGAGGCCTGTGGATAGCTTGATCGCCTAGCCAGCTCTACTCGGGATCCAAGAACACTTATTGTAAAATAAACTAGGGTCAGCCGGCTTTCCACACAACCTGGCCTGGACCACCTTGGAAACTTTCTTCCCAACCCACAGGTCCTGTGTCTGGGACAGGGACTGGGAGGGAATCAGGGAACCTGCTCTGCCTGCCAACCACTTGATCCTCCCTTCTTTTCTGGACCTCTACCTAGCCCCTGGCGCCTTTCCACCAAGGATGGGAGGCGACACCCCTCCTTGCCTAGAAAAACAACCCAATAAAACACAAAAAGACCACCTCCTGGGCTGCTCCTGTAACAGCTCCAGCTTGGCGTGCAAAACTCCAGAACCCAGAACCAGTGCATCTGCTGCCCCACCTCCTCTGCCCACCTTGGGCCCAGCTGCGGCCCAGCCTAGTGCAGGACTCTGGTTTTGCAGGCCTCACCTAGGCCGGCTAGCCCCAACCCGAGTCCCGTGGCCCCGCCGCAACCCCTCTCCCAATCCACATCGCACTAGCCCGTCGCCCCAGAAAGTGGCTTTTGTGTATTGGAGGGAGGCCTGGCCCGCGATCTCCAAACTGACAACGGTAATGCTTCACATTACACATCTCCACCAGGCCCAGCCGCTTAATCCGCCTTTTTTCCTTTCATTCTGAATTTGCTTTTCATCCCTCTTCCTCTCTGGCCCCTTTGCTATAAAAAGCACGCCCGACTCCTGGTAGCCCCAGGAAGGCAAGGCGGCGGCGCAGGGGAAAGGGAGCCGGGCTCGGCGCGCGGCCCAGGACCGGAGGAGCTGCGGGGGAAGCGGGGGAGGCGGTGGGAGGGCTTGCTGGAGATTCCACGAGACCCACAAATTGTGTTTTCATTTTAATTACTTGCCATTTCCACCCGAGGCCTTCTAGACTTTGCCCGGGAGAGAAGCGTACGTGCGTGCGAGGCCCGTTCCCTGATGCTGCAGAAGCTAACGACGGACTGACCGTGCGGAACCACGCGGCCGGTCGGGCGCAGGCTCTGGGCGGTTAAACTAAAACCACTTCCAGCTCCTGCGCCTCTTTATTCAAGCCGCTCTGCTCGACCCTGCGTGAGTGCCTCCCGGAGCGTGCTCTCTCTCCGGCCTGAAGCTTATTTGCTTTTTATTCTTTCCCTCTTTACTGGTATCTAATTGTTTTTATTTCTTTGCTCCAAATGGGAACTTCATTTTTATACCCAGAATTTTTTCCCCCTTTTAACCCTACACTGCAAAGCCCTGGGTGCTTCTGGGTTGTTTTCTTTTGCTTCCAGAACGCTAACAATTTTGAAATTTTCCATCGACCGGCATAAACCAGGATGTCGTTATCGGGTAATTAATTTAAACTCATTTTTTGGCCAATCTATAAAGTGAAGATTTGCTACAAAGTTAAGGTAAGCTCTTTTATTTTATAAACCTATGTTATAATTAGGAGGGGTTATCAATCTTCAGCGTTAACTCCGTAGACGATAAATAAACCAAACTTAAAAAGTCTTTTATTCCCTCTTCTTCTAATAAAACGAGCAGAATAGCTGTGTATTACAGCTTGACTTCCAGAGATCACATATCAGGGGGCAAGAGCTCTGAATGCCTCCCAAAAAGAAAATAAATGCCCCCCAAAGACTGCAAGGAACTCTGCAGAGAGAAAAGGTTGGGCCAGGCCGGCGCAGGTTCCCCCGGGAGGGCCAAACCCTGGCGCTTCTGGCGGGGTTTTCTTGTTAAAGGCCCACAGGTTGGAGCCTGCTCGCGACTTGCCGCAGGAAGGAATGTTATTAGCGCTAGTCTGGCGACGGCAAGCTGGGAACACAATGCCCTTTGCGGAAGAATCCCACGTGGCCCAACCTTGGAGGGCGTGGGTCCGGCGCGGGGTGGGCAGCGTGGGGCGCCTGCGCCTGTAAGCTAGCGCGGCCTCGGTGGAGGGGAGCTCAGGCCTTAACACAGCCGCCCACCTCGAGGCCTTCGCCCAGGGGACCTGCTCCTCCCCGGCGCTCCAGGCCCAGCGCTGCCCTTCACTGCGCCCGGGTCTTCGGGACCCGCAGCTCCACCTCGCTTTCTGGCTCTTACCCGGACTCGGGCTTCCGTGAGGTTTGTCCACACGGCGATCTCTTCGCGCGTGGACATGTCTGGGTAGCGGTTCCTCTGGAAAGTGGCTTCCAGCTCCTGCAGCTGCTGGCTGGTAAAGTGAGTCCGCTGCCGCCGCTGCCTCTTCTTCTTGGACGGGTCCTCGGCGCCCACGTCCTCATTCTTGCTCTGTTGGCTCTTATCTTTCTCTGCAGAGGAAGCACACAACCCTTCGGGTCAGCCTGCCCACCTGCAGAGCCCGGATCCCCTGTTGGATTAGGCGAGTGGGCCAGAGAGGGTCCGGCCAGGAGCCGGAGGGCGAGTGCGTGCGCCGCGGCTGGGCGCCGCAGGGAGCGCTGCGCCCGCTCTGCAGGGCGTAATGTGGGTGCGCGCGCCCCGTCCCCGCCCCTCCCCCCGCACATTTTATTTACATGTTTATCTCACTCCGGCGGCACGCTCTTTTTTATAGTCGGTGCTTTCAAGTGTATTTATACATCTCCGCGCAGCCACACCAACTCTCCCAGGACACACACGCGCGCGTTTCACAGACCCCCCGCCAGAAAAGCTCAGATTTCTACAAGGTTTGGAAAGGCCAGGGGAGTATATGTTGGGATTTGGCTAGGCACCCAAGCTAGCCAGGAGGAAATGCCTCTTTGCCAATAGCATTTCTGAGTAGTTGCGGAAATACTTCTTCTAAATGAGCGTAGCTACTCCCGAGCTGAATTCGGAGGTTAGAGCAGGGCTGAGAGGGGGAGGCCTGGGGACGTCCTAGAATCCAGATGCTGGGGCTCGAAAAACTCAGAAAACAGATGCGAGGCAGGGGAGGAGGGTGCTGTTCCAGGGAGAACCACACGGACAGGTCCTCGGCCCCGGCTCCCGGAAGTCCCGCGGGCCGCGCGCCGGACGACCACTCCCACCACGCCTCCCTAGCAGGGGCCGACTTCCTCGGCCGCCTAGCAGGACCTGGTGGCGCGAGGCCCCTGGGGCCAGTGTCTGCCGGGTGGCGCGGCGCCTTACCTGCAGCCTCCGGGCTGGAGGTGTCGGAGATGGTGTGCACCTCCAGCCGGTGCTTGGAGGAGTCCAGGGAGCGGGGCTGGCCCGGAGCCAGCAGCGAAGCCATTGCTAAGGGTTGGGGATGGTGACAGGAGGCCAACACGGAGGCGGCCGACAGCTTAGTCCCGGCTGCTCGGTGCTCCAAGTGCAGCGGGCCTTTCATACAGTTCATGAGCGAGGGAGCGCGCCGCCCTCCGGGTCCCGGGCCGCCGCCCTCCGAGTCCCTGTGGCTGCCGCTGGGCGTCGTGGGTCGCACGCTCCGGGCGGGCGCAGAGTTGCCCCGCTGTGGCTGCTGCAGAAGGAGACTGGGGACGCAATCCCTGCCGAGTCTCGGAGCCAAGTCGCCCCCCTCTGCTCCGGTAGGCTCCAGCGGGAGAGTCCGGCAGCCGAAAGTCAGCGGGCAGACGGAGGCATGGGGATGAGGGCAGGCGGGCACGGCGCGCAGCGTCTTTAGGGAGCGGGCGCCCGGGCTCCAAAAGTGAAACAAGAATGGGCAAAGACCCCCTTCTTCCCTCCCTCCCTCCCTCCCTCCCTCCCCGGTACCCCTCCAATGAGGACAGCTAACGCCGCGCGCTCCGCCCGCCCCGCGCAGCAAGCAGCCTGACGGCGAAGTGTCAAGACTGACAGGGACAGGTAGCTGATATCAGATCCCCGGCGGCTGCGGCGCGGGCCCCGAGCGCACCCCGAGCGCACCCCGGGCGCACCGAGCGCACCCGCGCAGCGCTCCTCTCAAGCGGGCGAGCCGGGGCCAGGGCTGCTGCAGCTCAGCGCCAGGCACCGGGGTGGACGACGGACGAGGTCTGCGGCTCCGCGCTTCCCTGTTGGCCCAGCATCTTAAAACCAGAGGCGGGCTTCCTGGTGGCCAGACGTCACTCGGCAGTGGCCCTCCCCAGCCCTCCGCGCCTCCGCCTCCTCCCCGACCCTCGGCGGGCGGGAGTGACGCGGCCCCGCACCAATCACGGCGCCCCAGCCGCGGCGAGGGCCGTCCCGCGTGCGCCTATCAGCGGCGTGGGGACGGGCCAGCGCCGCACCGTGCCCACCCGGCGCTCACAGGCGCGCTCCCGGGAATTCGGCCCTGCCCGGCAGAGGGAGGGCGAGCCGCGTTTAGCTAGGACAGGGAGGTGGGGCGAAGGCTGGGAATCGATGGCTGGGTGAAAAGGAGCAAAAAGCCTGGGGGTGGGGGGTGGGGGAGTACAAGGCTCAACAACCGCCCCCCTCCTTTGTGTCTCTACATCATTTCCAGTCGCGACCCCCCACCCCCGCGTAGAAGAGAGATATGCTACCTAAAACTGTAAAATATTAAAACCACCAGCAAATCACCTTTCCGATCTTAAATTTTCTAAACTGCCTGTCAGGTGAACGCCACGCCAATCTGAAGCAGCTTTATTTTAATTGCAAAGAAGATAGAGCCCTGGAAAGGGAGGCTAATAAATTAGAAATCCAGAAGAAAATGGACCCGTGAAAAGAAAATTACCTTGACTTTAAACGAACAACTGCTTGGTGGTTCACTCTGGATTTATACAAGAATAAAAAGTCGCCTCAAATCACGTCCTCTGTAATGCTTATTAGTCCCCAGACAGGATACACACAATAGAACAGAAACCCTAACCCAGCGTTTTCAAAATGCTGAAAGCTTATCCATTCTACTTAACGTTGATTAAGACACATATCCTAGATCTTTCAAATTCCTTGTACACTGTATTAAGCTCGTCCTAACCCAAGAGAGCCGCACTTTAAATTCGACTCTCTTGTTTACTTTATTATCAATCAGATTCAAATCCATAAAGCCCGCAGAATCAACAACCTTGAGCTAATTATATATAAAATATGCTTTAATGCATTTCCATACAATTAAGAATGTTGCCAAATAACCAATTTCAAGGATAATTTTTAAGAGTCATTTTCTTTTCCTGGGAGTCCATGCTGTCTTGAATTGTTAAAGTACAAGCAGGCAGAAGCCGAAGTGTGTGGGCCAAGGCCAGCGTTCAGCAGGGAACGGCAAAGCCTTATTCACTCATACAAAACAAATCAAAATAAAAATCACCTTTGGGGCCACCAATGCTCTACAGCACTACTCCTAAGGCAATTTAATTTCCAAAGAAATTACAAAAAGGAATCCGAGCATTCCAAACAATTTTCGAAAGCCCTTTGGTCAGCGTGTAGATGTAGCTCAGTGGTAGAGCTCTTGCCTACCACGCCTGAGGCCCTGAACTCAAGCAATGGCACTAGGGAAAAAAAAGAAAGAGAAAAAGAAAGTCCTGTGTCCCCCAGCTTAGATCTGCCAGAGAACACAAAAGTGATCTCGTCGGGTTTTCTGCACTGTGACTGCTTTATTGTCCAGTTAGTGTTATCCTCCCTGAATGTGTATTTGTTTGACATCATAGTCAATGATTTGCAACACCAGTATGAGGTATCTTTAGAAAACTCCCTCCCTGGCCCTGTTCACAAGGTTGGGCAACCTATTCAGTCCCGGACTGAGCAGACAAGCAGGCAACAGACCCCACTCCCCAAGGAACCACCCCCACCTCGATCTGCAGTTCTCTTCCATTGGAGACTCACTTGAAAGAGGTCCAAGGAACGGATCCTGCTCACCAGTGCTACCCCACTCAAAGGAGAAATTAGCTACTAGAGGGACTTTCTTCCCAGTCAGGCTTGAATCAGCATTTCTGGTTTTAACCTTTTATTCCACTTCTTACCCCTTTCCAGCCAAACACCCATGCCCTCTCAGAGCAGAACCACTCATGCGACAGTTCCACATTAACTGAAGCGCACGCATCCAGCTATATTAGGCCCTGCAATCTTATCACTAAATTACACATACTACACCAGCAGCCTGTTGGTAAAGAAGGCTAAATTAATTTACATTCTGCTCATTACCTGGTGCTTAAATGACGCACTTTATCCCTGAGATTTGGCAAAAATCTCCTTCTCAGACCCCACAGTGTTCCACTGAAGACAATGCTCTTACATTTGTAGTGGTTTTTAATCTGATAAGACTCTAATTTGCCTAAGTCTTTTAAATAAGGGTTTTAAATGTTTCTAGCCATTTTCTTATTGAATTTCCTCTAATTCCACCAAGATCATAAAGTATATGTGTAAAGTAAATCTTTTCTCCCATTGCTCTGCCAGCTTGTGACCTATATCTGTCAATGCAGATCTAGCTCTTTTCTGCCCAATGTGTTTACTAATCATATTCCAGTTTCTTCCTTTAAACCTCAGCATAGCAGTGGGCCCCTGCACACCAGGCCCTTTAAAGCTTCTTTAGAGAAGAGACTCCATCCCTTCAAAGAATGAACACTCTTTCTTTGTACAGAGCAAACTCTCTTCCGTGTTTCAAGATTGAAACTCTGGAGCTACAAATTGTTTTTAGAGGCTTGGGGGTGTTTTTCACAACTTCTTGTTCTAGAAAGCTGAGATTTTTACAGAGTCCTATAGATTTCTAAGCCTACCTCTCATTAGACCCACAGACTTTGGGTTTAAGCTTCAGGAACTCTGTGCTTCTGATGGAACTTTCATAACGGCAAATACACACACATGAAGGCCCCGTCAAGCCTCCAAGATGGGTGCCACCTCAGGGATAGGCGACAGTTCCCCACAGTGCAAAGTGTGGGACTTGCGGGAATCATCAGGGATCTACAGACAGAAAGCTTAAAAATATAAGGAATCTTAAATTGTATGGACGTCCTGAATCAACAGGATAATACAGAAATTATCTAAACATTCATTTTAAAAAGTCGTTTATACACACATACACACTATGTACATGTGATAGTATATGTATGTATATACAGATAAAGGTAATACATCATAATATATAGTACATACACACTGCATATACTACACAAATATAAATGTATATCTACTTATATATCCCCAGATCTGTAAACAATGAACTCAAAACAAGGATTTTCTTTGCATTTTTTTTCCATCTGGAGGGAGGTCCAAGCCTCGGTATGATCACTTAATCATTTTAATACTCCGTACATCCTCAACTGGATGACACTCTTTCTTGACCCAACAGTATCCCTCCAAGGGCAGTAGGAAAACACTGTTATGAGAAGTGTAGATGAGAAGAAGGATGTGTGTGGTGGAGACCAAGAAATGCTTTTCAAGAAGCTCCCAAGGTGGTGATCAGCAAGACTCCAGACTTTAAGCCAGCCTCCAGAGGGGGATGGGCACGTGAGTTGGGAAGGGGCCAGAAGGCGAGGCATCTTATGTATTTTCCAAGTTCAGCACTGCTGTGGCCTTCGAATGGATTCTTAGGGATGGACTCTAGAAATCACCAAGCTTCAGCTTCCCTCATAGAAGTTTTCAATCTAGAAAAAAACCAACCAGTCTCTGCTGCACCGGTGGGGCAGGGAGAGACGCCCAGTGCTGTGTTGAGCTCTTTAGTCCAGGAGACCTCGGGGGTCATCTCAGCTGGGTTTTCTTTCCAGCTCTTTCAAAGAAAGACCCTCCAGGAGGAAAATGTGACCCAGGTCAGGCGTGTTTTAAGCTGAATTTGCCACCGATTACCAGTCTTAAAGTCTTATTTAATTTCACACTCTCTAGTGTGAGTTGCGCAAATCCCTCAGGCCTTGGCGGTGAGCAGTCGGGCAGGGCAGCCAGGCCACTTTTCCTACTTACAGCCCAGTGTGGGCCAGGGTCCAACCACGCGATCTCTGAATTTTGGAAAGAATCTGTCCCCAGAGTTCACCTCCACAATGGCTCAATTAGATACCTCTCTGAGCTGTCAGGCTCTGGGGCAGGAGTACTGCCCAGCCCAGTCCTGCCCAGTCCAGTCCAGGCCAGGCCAGGCCAGCTCAAGGGCGAGGCCCGGCCGCCCGCCCAGCTTGCAGCAGGGTACAGGCACTGAGTGCTTGTGTGGTGGGGGAGGCGGAGGTCAGGTGAAGATCTGGCACCCTGTGGCTTCCAGAAGTGGCCCTTCCTTTCCTCCAGCTACAGCCAGGTTTTCTCTGCATGCAACCCAAACTGTAAAGTGCCCCCTCCTCTGATAGCCAGGAAACCCATTGGGATATGGAAAGCTCTGTGGAGGTGGATTTTTCCCATTCCCTAAATGGGATTTTGAAAAAGAGGGTGGGTTCTTTTTGGAATCAGAACACTGTGGATGTACTGGGTCATCCAGACCAGATATCATCAGATCTCCGCAAATGACAGCCATTTCAACACATAAGCTCTAGTTGCTCAAATTCCTGAAAATGGGGCAGAAACTTGGGGAGGGGTCCTGGTGGGAGGTACTCCCTAGTGAGAGCCCAGAGAGGATCTAAAGGGATGATTTTGAAGTCTCTGAACCAACCTGCACCGAAAGCTGCCTCACACACTCGGGGTGAGTGCCGCAGGTTTACTAAGAACTCACTTAACCTTTTGAATGCAATATTTAAGGAATTATTTAAAATACAAAGATGATACAGTGTCTCTGTATTAGGAAAACAGAAGAGGGAGAGAGAGAGGAAAGGATGGAGAGAAGGGCAAAGAAAGAAATGAATCAATTTGAGATTAAACATATCCTG